CAGTCTTCAGTGTCACATGATCTTCAGAAATCAGTATAATATGCTGATTTGCTGCTCAAGAAACATTTTTGATTGTTATCAATGTTGAAAACATTAATATTTTTGTGGAAACTGTGATGCATTGTATTTTTCAGGATTCACAGATCAACAGAAAGTTCAAAAGAACAGCATTTATCTGAAATAGAAATCTTTTGTAACATTATAAATGTCTGTACTCTCACTTTTGATCAATTTAATGCATCCTTGATTAATAAAAGTATTAATTAATTTTCAAATCAGCATATTATACTGATTTCTGAAGATCATGTGACACTGAAGACTGGAGTAATGATGCTGAAAATACAGCTGCGCATCACAGAAATACATTACAGTTTAACAGATATTCACATAGAAAACAGCTGTTTTAGATTCTAATAATATTTCAAAATTTTTACTGTATTTTTGGTCAAGCAGAAGAGAAGAGAATGCTACAAATCGTCATTATTCCCAACTTTTGATTGGTAGTCTATATAATATCTCCATAAATCAAAAAGAGATTTATTCCCCCTCGTGTGATTTTAAACCTGTGTGCTGTTATTTTTATCCGTTCGTAATCTTGATGCTTTGTTTCGCACACTTTCACACACTCAGATCGGCGTGTTGTCCTCGTCTTGGACACGTGAGAACCGGTGAGACTTGCGGTCAGACCTGATAGTTGATTTGTGTTTGCAGCGATGTTATGAGTGCACGTGTTTCTCAGTCTGTAGGGATGTGTCTAACTGCAGGATGAGTGATAACACGTGTTTCTGTCGTTGCTCGGGTGTGTCCTATTGCTCATACTCAGCTTCATTTGATGGGTTTATTATTTTCAACTGTTTCTGCAGATATATCAGTGCCTGCAAACCTGGTGTGTGGACTCCATGACATCTGAGTGTGAACCAACACAGCTGACATTAGATGAATTTAATGTATGCTGTGTGTCGATGTAAACTACATGCATTCCTCTGATTCAGAACAAGCACACGTTAAACTACTGCATTCTCATTTAGTCAGGATTCACTTTTTATACAAATATTTTGGGATTTCATTAAACGTGAGCCAATCTATGTGCTGTATCATATCATATGTGAGCCTGCAGCACAAAAGCAGTGTTAAGTCGCTGGGGTATATTTGTAGCAATAGACAACAATACATTGTATCCTCCTGACTACCAGGAAAAAACAGTTAAGTGAATTTAGTATTTTGTCATGTCATTACATTGTTTAGAGCATAATACAATTTTTGAAAAATGATATTTTATTCATATGTTATGCCATGTCCTCTGTAGAAGACATCGGGACTTTAAAAAGTCCTGTTTTTTTTTTTTAATAAAAATACATGAATAAACATGAAAAGGCAAAAAGAGTGGGATTTTTGTTTTAACCACAAATCAATTTTAATTTTTTTATACCAAACTTTACATAAAGATGATTCTCAACTATGTTATGAAAGATATTTTTTAAAAACATTTTTCTTTATGCAAAATGTGTGTAAAATGGCCATAAACGAGTTTTTCCAATGTATCTATAAACTGTATCTAATTTGCATATTAACGTGTTTTTGGGGCAACATAGAATGAACAAATAAGTGCAATAATGGGAGTAATAATTAGCAAGATTTTCATAATAATATCTAACATTTAATAGGAATAATGATATATAATTTTTTCTCTATTCATTTGTTGCGTCTCCCAAAATGTGTAATAAACATGCTTTAAGTCCTGGTGTCCTCTACGGTGGACATGTATGAAATCAACGTCCGGTTTCATAACAGAAGCTCATATTTTGATTTGAAACCCCATAACATTTTCCTGAGATGTTGATTTATGACAAACAATTTGTCAATTAGTCAGATTTAAATGATAATTACAAAATATTATCATATTTCCGTTAGGGTGTTACACTTGATCACTAAATGAATGTCAGGCGTTTTTAAAGAGCAAGGAGAGGGAGTGGTGACGGAGAAACATCCAATCATCTGGTGTCTCTGGAAAGCCCTGAATGTGACTGGTTTTGTGCTCCAGGTCACATACAGTATGTATAATACTTAGACAAATGATGGTTTGTGGTAAAAGTACCTTTCTGAGCATCCTGTAAAGCTTTAAATAATCACGTGCTCTTGTAATGTGAAATATAATGGTAAAACCCATCTAATAATATATTTTGTAAGAAAACAATATTTAATCTGTTTTTAATAAATGTTTGTCAATCCAGTGCAGTTCTTTGGGGGTTTTTGTCGCTCCTGAATCTTGCATTTCCACAAAATGCCTTCACCGTCAGGACGGACGAGAAGAACGAGCTGATGTCAATCATATCATTTACTTAAATGCTTTAAATAATCAAGCGCTACAGCTGTTGTAATGTGACACGTCAGTGCAGTTTTTCAGCTCTTTTGAAACTCATTCAAACATCCTTGAACGCAAAAAAAAATAAATGAACAAATATTTGTTGTCTTGTTTTCTAGTACAAATATCTAAAAATTGAATTGAGATGCAAAATGAGATGATTAAGTCTTGGTTTCTGACTGATTTATTATTTTTATTTATTTATTTATTTCCAGAATGATTGTAAACATAAAGGTTTTGTGGTAGTAGATTTTTTAAATATGATCTCCAAAAATTGTTAGTTTAATATTTTATACAATATATTACAATGAATATATATATATATATATATGTGTGTGTGTGTGTGTGTGTGTGTGAGTGTGTGTGTGTGTGTGTGTGTTAAAACATGGAAACACAACATGTGGGAGTGAGCGTGTGTGCGTGTGAGTGCGTGTGTGTGAGTGTGTGTGCGTGCGTGTGTGTGTGTGTCTGTGTTATTATAGTTAACTAAAACTGAAACTAAAAACTTTTGTTACTTGAAATGTTGATTGAGATATTTTTTTATTTAAAAAAACTTAATTTCAGCTAGTTGCAAAGAAAACATTTAGTTTAAGTTGATGTACTAAAAATAACAAATATTTAAAAATTAATTAAATTATTTAAAACTAAAAATATATATAAAAACTATAGGCCTATAGATAAAATACAAAAACTACTAAAAATGAAAAAAATATCTGATTCAGAATATTAATAAAACTGCGATTGGGAGTGTATGTTATATTCAGAGAACCCGTGTAAGGTGTGTAGTATCATGTCGACGTCATGGGCTGTGGTCCAATCCCGAGTGCGGCGCCTGTGTAGACAGCGCGCGGGGTGTCACGTGTGCGTGCAGGGCTCCGCCCACTCGCTGTCAACGTAGACGGAGCGAGAGGGATTGAGACGCGGCCAGTGCGACACACACACACACACACACACACACACACACACACGCTGAGAGAAAGTGGGAAATCCCGCTTTCTCGTTATTTTGTCTCGTTGTTGTTTCACTTCAGGACCGGTGAAGGATTTGAGGCGGAAGCTCCAGAAAGGTAACGATATGATCTCAATCTCAATTTATCGATAAACGAGACGCGCTGATAAGAGCGAAACCAGCGCGTTTAACTGTAAGGAATTATGTCCCAGTCTTTAATTATAATCCAGATTCAGCGGTTTTAATTCTGGACAGAAGTGAGTCTGAAACGAACTAACCTTAACCTGGTCAGTCGGGTTTAGTCCGGATCAAGCATGCAGTGTGGGTTTATAACAGTGAAGTACAGTTGCAGTCATAGGCTTTAAATACCATGGTATTCTGTGAAATACTGTGATAAATGAATGTATGTAGTCATTAAATAACATTGTAAATGTCAAACTACCACTAAACTAGTTTACATTGAGTTTACAGTGAATACAATGTAACATAAGTGTTCACTTCGTTTGTAAACGTCACATTTGCTGTTGTTATTGTGTATAAACCAACATGAAATCAGCCGTCACTTTAGAGAAAAACAGTAAAAATATCAAAATAAATAATTAAAGGAACGTCTACTTTACTGATTATGTTCTGTGAGTTGATTAATATACATTTTAGAAATTAATTAAAATTTCTGATTAAAATGAACTAGTGTAAAAACAGTGTAAAAATAAAAATAGATCTAACAAACTTGATTACAGAGAATTTAGAGAAACAGTGTAAAAAATGTAACTAGATAATAAAAGTACAAAATCTAACAAACTCATGTAATTTGATTAAAATAAATGTTTTAAAAATGTATAAATAAAAAAATATTAAAATTAATTAGGGTAACTTCAGTCAGGGTCAGTCACTTTAGAGAAAAACAAGGTAAAATATAAAAATAAATAATAAAAGTAAGATCTAATTTACTAATTAAGTTAAGTATTTTGATTAAAATAAATTTTAACAATTTTGATTAAAATGAATTAGTGTAAAAATAAATAAATAATAAAAGTAGATCTAACTAACTTATGTAATTTGATTAAAATTTGATTAAAATAAATATACATTAAATAAGTACAAAAATAAGTACAAAAAATAGAATAAGCTTATTATTATTATTTTTGAATAAGTACAAAAAATAGAATAAGCTAAAAATGACTAAAATAATTAAATATACAGATACATAACAGTACAGTACAGTAGTGAATATAATTTTTTTTAAATATTAATTATAAATTAATAATTCTAAATAAATATGAATATAAACGTTAATATTTGACACACATTTACAGCATTAATATTTCACAGTATAAATGGGGTCTGTGTTTGATCGTCAGTGACGCTCAGACTGAAGAGTGACGAGCTGCACTTGTAATTATAACGAGGCGTTTCGTTCGTTTAGTTTGAGCTGTCGAGGTGACAGAGAGGTGAGACGCACCAAATACACAGTGACAAGCTGCTTTCATATTTAATATAGTTACACTGTAAAAAGGATTTTACTATCTCAGTCTTTCATGTTTAATTCATTGTAAGTCGCTTTGGATAAAAGCGTCTGCTAAATGACTAAAAGTAAAGTAAAAGTAATTATTTGTGAAACTTACTAGCAATTTCTGAGTGTTCTAGTCTTTTTCAGTGTAACTGCAGAAAAAAATTCATTTGCAAAAAATGCCTTTTGCATTCTCAGATTGTTTTGGACATGTACCATGGCAGTACCGTAGTATTTTGGTCTTTTACTATGGCACTATCGTGGTTTTCTTTAAAGTAAACATTTGGACAAATACCATGGTAATACCATCATTTTGGGACATTTATCGTGGTAATACCATGATAGTCTTTAACGTGGAATACCGAGTGAAAAATGTAGAGTTTGTGTTTGGAAGTAATAACTCTGCACCATGGTATTACCACAGTAAGGGTTTTCACATTTACAGTAAATATTATGTAGCACAAGTGTTCACTTCATGTGTATACATTACATTATCTGTCATTTACTAAAAAATAAATAATAAAAATTCATTAATTAATCCATCTAAATTAATCTAACTAAATAAAGAAAGAAAATAAAAATCGAACTAAATGAATGAATGGATAAATAAATAAATAAATAAATAAATAAATAAATGAATGAATGAATGAATGAATGAATGAATGAATAAATAAATAAATAAAAATCGAAATAAATGAATGAATACAAAAATTAAAAAATTTAAATCTAAAGGAGTGAATAAATAAATGAAAAAATTAAAATCTAAAGGAGTGAATAAATAAATACAAATCTAACTAAATTAATGAATAAATTAATAAATAAATACAAAGCTAACTAAATTAATGAATAAATTAAAAAAAATAATAAAAATCTAACTAAATTAATGAATAAATAAATAAATAAAAAATAAAAATCTAACTAAATTAATAAATCAAAAAAATAAAAATTTAACTAAATTAATGAATAAATAAAAAAAATGACTAAAATAACACAAAAAAAAAGATTTAAATAAATAATATGTGACAATACCATATTATAATGAATAGTCAAAAACTAATAATAAAGTTACAAGTTACAAAATTATTTTACTGTATTTTACTGTCATGTAATGGATTAGTTATAAATTATCCATGAACTATATAACTAATACCATGTTATTTAGTCATCTATCATGTTCATTTGTTATACACGGGTCAGATAATCCCATATTATCTGGAATGTATCATTGTAATACCGTAGTATTTAAATACTTCCATATAAATCATCATGTGCACCATGTGCAATGATATTACTGTGTTATTTAGTCATTTATTATGGCAGTATCGTGGTGTTCTTTAAAGTATCTAGTGATACGTTGGTCAAATATCATGAAAATACCATAATGGTGCTGTGATAGTCTCGGGGTGCTGAGTTTCTGTTACCACGGGAGGGTTGTTTGACAGAGTAAACAGGTTTTTCAGTGAACACTGATTAGTGTGCGAGTGTGAACGGAGCGTTATATAACATGATGTCTATCTCCACAGCCGCTCCTCCGTAATTACCAGCCATTATTCACTCATTACACCTCATGGTTTCACTTGATCGCTGCTCTGGACTGGACTTCAGATAAAGAGCGGATTAGATTAGAAACTAGTCTTGACACACAGGGCACGGCAGGCTTCAGGATCAGTTGTTTTGGTGCAACTTCCTGCTTCTCCTAAAACCCTCAAAAAGATGTCTATATAGGCAGCATTAAATATTATGCTGACTTCTAAGAGGCTTTGTTTTTTAGCCAAAGAGCTGATAAAACTTTATATTATTTTATTTATTATAAGATATTTTTATTTCATTATTTTATTATTTATATGCTATTATTTTATATTTATATTGTATATTATTCTGCCTTCTAAGATGCCTTCTTTTGGTAAAAGAGCTGTTAAAATTGTATATATTACTATTTTATATTTATATTATATATTAAGTAATCATTTAAATTAAATACATTTATTACAAATAAAAATTAAGAAAATAAATATTTAAACAAATTTAAACCAAAGACACCAAAGAGCAGAAAATATTTTATTTTATATATTATATTTTATATTGTTATTTCATTATTTTATATGTATATTTTATATTATTCTGCCTTCTTAGATGCATTCTTTTGGTAAAAGAGCAGATAAGATATGTTATTATTATTTTATATTATAGTTATATTTTATATTATGCTGCCTTCTAAGATGCCTTCTTTTAGCCAAAGAGCTGATAAGTTATAAATATATAATTTATTATAATTGTTCTCTTTGCAGAGAAGTCACTCCCATAATGCATTGCAGCAAGTCTGTTTTGTTTGTCATCTCAGCAGTATGTAGCTGTTAGTTCAGATCTGCCGAGTCTAGTTTTGATCAAAGGTACATGTCGTAAACATGCACACAATAATACCTGCTTTTGTCAGGAAGGCCATTGATAAATACCTGTTTGAACAAGCTATTGTGTGTGTGTGTGTGTGTGTGAGAGAGAGTCTGTTCAGAGAGGCTGTGGTTATTCTGGGAACAGACTCCAGTCTCTTTCTATGGAAATATGAAACCAGTCTGTGACATTTTAGAAGCCACTTCCTCCTCAGAACGCTCTGTGTGTTTGGAGCTGCGCGTGTCGGGAGTTTTATATTTATCCGTGATGCTGTGAGTCCTAATAAGGCCTGGGCTGGTCCATTTACACTCAGCTGTGGCCGTGTTGTGTAAAAACACCTGCACAAGCTGAAGAAAAACCCGCCGTCGCTGTAATGCTGTTGATCTAGTGCCTGTCATTTGTGCATCCTTTCATCCTCACAGCCTTTTCTGAGGTTTGCTTTCAGGAAAAGAGAAAGAAAATGCTTTTCTTTCGAACTTTTATTTTGCAAGAAATGTAGTAAGTAGATATTGACCGATACTGTTTAGTCATAGCTGATTTTTAAGTGTTCTATAGCCAATAAAAATGCAAATATATATTTTTAAATTATAATAATTTAATTTAATATAAATATAAATTATATATATATATAACAGAATATAAACATAAATATAATATAAAAAAAATATTTTGAAATTGATGGTTCCATGATGGAAATGTGTGAAAAAAACATTCTTCAAATTATTAAAATATTCTTCACGTTAAGAAAAAAAAAGGTTCTTTGTAGAACTGTTCATTGGAAGGTTCTTTGGGGAACCCAAAATTATTCTATTGCATTGCTGTTTTTGGACACACTAATGGACACATTTGATTGTTAATGATTATTAGAAATTTATTTCTATTTTCTATGCTTATATTTTTTATTTCTGCTTATATTTTAAATTTTAATGTTACATTTTTATAGTTAATAAATACTTTTAAATTATTTATATTTTTCTTTTGACACAATGATAATTATTTTTATTATTATTATATTATTATAGTAAT